CAACAAGAGAAAGTTGTAATTTGTATTTACTTTACCCAGCTTTCTTCATATGAAAGTAGCCAAGAAGTAGGGAAGGAAAGACAATTACAAGAAATTGTGATAGGAAACTATTGGGAAAAGCAATTTGTAATTTCTGATAAAACTCTAGGTACCTAACCCTGAGCACTCATTGTCTGATAAGTGGGAAGTGCCTGTTGAACAAGTGACCACTTGACTGATTTTAAGCATGTGGAGCTCATTTGTCATCTAAAATATAGAAGGGAGTGAGATATTAGCTTCCTGAATAGCTATTTTTATTTAGAAAAAATAATGAACCAATAAACTTCTCATATAAGATGAAATAACTATTTTCTAGAAACAGTGATCTTATGTTCTTCATTGTATAAACACATATGTACTCATATAACATAGCTCCTGGGATACAATAAACAATAAATGTATGTTTATCTTATTTAGGCAAACTAAAAGTTGCAGGCTCTGTGCCCTTAAATTTTTTAAATTTATATTCGTATTTTGTTTTTTAAGGTGTTATGAAAATACAATTTTAAAAGCCCATCTATTTCTAACCACAATGTATTAACAGGGATTGGATTTTTCCACCCACCTAAAATAAATAAATTTAAAAAAAGCAAAATAAAATAAATTATATTGGTCAGTGGAGAGCAGTGATTTCATAGCGATAAGAAACAAGTGTTTAGCCCCACATTTGTACATTTGTTCCACCAGACTGAGTGGAGACTCAGTTTAGCTTCTATATGAAAGTTCAGGAAGGAGGAACTCTATAAGAACCCAGTGGTCTCTCTCAGTTTGGGAGACAAAGCAGACAGAGTCTCAGGAGGTAGTTAGGGTATACAGTACCAAACGTCAGAGAGGACAGAGTTATACACAAAGAAAGATCCAGAGATCTTCAGATGGACTTCTAGTCTTCAGCTCAATATTGATCTGTTGCATTCATAAGAGAAAAGTCTGAAGACTGGGGGAAGCACCACCTAAAAGGGTTAGAGGGGCCCACACATGTAAAGCAGGGAATATTTTTTGTTCCCAAGTTGCAAAACTCTCAGTTCATGAAGCATTAAGTATAGTACTCAGCTGTTTGCATCAGTAGTAGGAAATAATTAACCATAGAATAAACAATTATCTGGTCTTGCCTAACAAAATTTAATAGCAAGACAACAAAATAGGAAACAGTTTCTAAGTAATGTAACTACATCCCAGAAGAGAGCTCAAGGATATTTATAGAAATACAACATATACCAACACCCAATAAGGTAAAATTCATAATATTAGGCAACCACATCAAAATTACTAGGGATGCAAAGAGCAGTAGAATATAACTCATAATGAGAAAAGTCTAAATGACATAGAAATGACATAAAAAACAGAATTAGCAGACAAAAATATTAAAAATTTAAAGTATTTCCCATATGTTCAAAAAACTAGAAAAAAGTTGTATTACATTTTAATATAACCATTGTGATTCATTTTCTGATATGCAAATTAATCTTTGAAGCTTCCTAAATGGACTTTAAAATATTACCAAAATATTCATAATAAACACCATTATTCTGGAGACTTACCCTGTTTCTGAGATTTATTCTGCTTTTAAGCCTTGGGAAATGAGGAATGAGGAATGAAGTGATGCTTTCAGGTGAATTATCATAGAATTCAAGGACTGGATAGAAATAGATAAGGGTCAAGATGAGGAGGAGAGATAGACTAGGTTGGCAGCCGTGTGGTGGCAGCACTTGAAGGTGTGTGGTATAGTTGCAGGGTGTCAAAGGCACATTGTGCTTGGTAATAAAAACTATTTACATTTTTTCAGTGTCCTACTGATGAATACTTTCACATTTCTGATGTTGAAATACCTTTATTATGCCCTAATCAACAACATATAATATTTTTTACTCACATATTAACTGGGCAATTCCTTGCAATAATTCTAAGTCTATACAGAGACCTAGAATTGTTCCATATGGAACAACTGGGATAGTTGTATTGCAGCATTGGGACTTCTGTTATGGGCCATGATGTCCTTATATTCTTTTGTTTTTGAAATAATTTTAACACCTCGCTGTTCCAACTAAGAGAGGACACAACATTGCAAATAGAGGCTTAAAGAGAAAACAGTGGATTTGACTTGGGCCCATACTTTCTGTTATTGTTGGTTTGAGGAAGAAGAAAAGTAGAGGTGATGAAGTTGCCCTCAACAACTGGTAGTTACTGGTAGTTGAATCTCAGGCTGTGGTTCTACTCGGCACCTGACACTTGAAGAAGTGAAGACAGGGAGAGAAAGGTACTGGGAAGACTGGGCCCCTGGCATTGATATGTAACACCAAGAAAGCAGTCAGTGAGGATCTCAGAAAGCCAGGAGAGATAGTCTATTATGAAGAGTACTTGCTGGAAATACTTGAACACTTCCCTGTTTCTGGTGAGATTTGATATCCAGAAACACATGTCTTTTGAATTCAAGTTTCTCCTAATGCACACTATAGCAATCAGAAAGAATTATAGTGCTGCTATATTTCTATAAAAGATAGGAGAATCTACCTTTGACACTAATGCATGAAAATATATTTGTGTTTTAAAAAGGCAAACTGCCAAATTTAATTCTTCAGATGAGTTAATTGCTATAGGTGGTAAACAAAAAAGGATGGCTGTTTGTAGAAGGCCTTTATTGTGAATAGATGAGTTGTATTGTAGTACAATTCTTAGATCATGTCCACATAGAAAAAGTAAATTGATGATATAATTAACCCATGTTAACCTATATTGTAATTCAATTTAATTAATTTATACTGGTAAGATTTTTTTGAAAATCCTAGTCTAATTAATTAATGTCTTCACTTTTCATATTTTCTCTTCCTTTTTATTTTTGTAAGGATGTTTACTTTGCATTTTTTTCTTGTATTAGGTAGAGATATCAGTTGAAAGATACCTTAAAATTTTGTGACACTGAGTTTAATCAACCAAACATTCCTAAGTAATTGATAGCATATTTACTATTTGGTTAGATGGATAGGCACTCTGGTATTAAATTAAGTCTCTAAAGTTGGCATTTTTTCTCCGTTAGTTTGCCATCCTGCCCACTTATATCTTGAATTTGAAAGATGTAAATAAATAAGATTAGAATATGAATTTTTAACATAATTAAATTGTTTTGAAAATTAGTTTGTTACAAAATATGTTCTCATTTTATGTATTATTAATTTAACAATAAGTTTTATGACAGAAGATTTTAGTCAAAATAGTTACACAATCAACAAGCAAATGATATATGGGCAATCAATCAGACCATCAAATACCAGTTGATAACATAATCCATTTGGACAGGAACTACATTTCCAAAACGAGTTTTGATTTAGTCATTGGACGTAAAACAAAAGATATCAGACTGTATCTTAAAAACAAGCAAACAAAACAAAACAAAAACTTGTCCAATTCAGTATACCTAATAGAGACAGAAATCAAATAATAGTATATGTCATTAAACTTTTCCAACAAGATTCTGTGGTCACCTGAAGTAGAAAAACTTGGTTTTCCAATATAACTACTCAAATCGGTAAAAATAAATATTTTAAAACTTTACTCTTATTTTGAAATTTTACTTTATTGTGTTAGTTATCTGCATTTACATTAATATTTTTCAGTCTTTATTGATCCCTATTTATATTTTGTATAATTTTATTAAGCCGTAGGCCACAAATTAACATTTCATACTCAACTAAATTTCAGGGACTATTCCCTCTTTAGTTTAAGGATTAGATGAGATATGGATACTGTATATTGAAATAATCATGCACTAGAATGATAAATTTAAAATAATCTTTAAAATGTGTTATGGAGATTTTGTCATGTTCAAAAATTTTGCAGTATCTCTCAAAATTGTCACAAATTTCCCCCATCATGTTAATATTACACTTTTACGTATGAAACTTGACTCTCTGTGCAGTATGTTTCCTGCTTGAGTTTTGCCCTTTGTGTTATATTATCTCATGTTATACAAAGTCATTTTGTGACTAATTTCCAGAGCACTGAGTCACAGTGTGGCTGTTGCTTATCTTTTCTTTTTTCCCACATGGTAATACTCTTGACCCTTATTTTTGGTAATTATTTTAAACCAATGAGTGCTTTTTCATAATTAAATAATTGTTTCTCTCATATTTCTGTGGTTGTTTACTGCTGTATTATATTCTTTCATTTTTTACTAGAAGCAAACATTTTATAACCAACAGGAACATAACAGTACATCATGTAGGCATGTTATCTATTGTTTTAATTTACAAAATTGCACAATATAGACTTGATCGTAAGTATTCTCGCTTAGGTATCTCAGAATATAACCTTTGGTCTTTGGAGACTTGTAAAATATTTCCTTAGAGAGATTAGTTAATGCTGGCATAAAATATTCAATTTAGATTACGATTATTTTAATGTTTATACCTCATTTTAAATATCAACTAATGGTATTGAAAGATTATTTGAATAGAAGACTGACAGTCTCTTTATTATATGTTATGAAATAAAATGGAAAGGTAAACCAAACTTCCAAAAACTTCCAATTAACTAAGCACAATTAGTAAAGAATTCTACTACAATCTTCAAATTATAAAAAAGCTACATACACCAATTCGTTACAAAAATGTTTATGGTTTAAAATCATAAGCATTGCACATAAATTTGCTTAAGAATTAAATGCAAAATGCTGAGAACTCAAGTTTGGATTTCAGTTTGTTTACTTTGTTTACAGGGAAGGGTTGATTTTCATTTTAGGCAAATAAACAGTGATCCTCCCCTATCAGTTCTTTGCCTCTCAGCACGCTGCTTTTCCCCCCGAGAAAGAAAAAATTGAAGTTATTTCTCATGGGCTAGACAGTATATTTCCAGGTACTCACAAGTAAAATCTCTGATGAAAGTTCTTGGACTGTTTTTTTCAAAACGGAGTTGAGATGATTTTGCTTTTCCTTCCAAGTATTGAAGAGAGGATTTATCTTCTCTACTTCTTCTTTTAGAAACAGATCAAGAAACTGGGGATTGAAGAATAACTGACAGAAACGCAGTCTGATCTTACTAGCAGTGAAAGAGAGAGGTAAGAATTTGACTGTTATCCAGCCTGAAGTCTCTGCTGTCTGTTAGAGCAAAGAGGGAGCCTGAGAGTCGCTTCAGAGATCACTGGCAGTTGGGAATAGCCCAACTTCCTGTTAGGTCACTGCAACTCTGACTCTGTTTTGTCTAAACCTCTTTTTCCTTTCTTTCTCTCTCTCTCTTTTTTTTTTTTTTTTTTTTTTTTAGTGGAGGAAACAGATGAAGGAAACAGCTTACACCAAGATTTCAGATACGATCATTTTGAACAACTATTTCTTTTACTTTCCAGGATTGTTTTTGTAATCAGTTGAAAAAGAATGCTTTTTCTCCCCCTAGAGTTAGGGTTTAAAAAAAAAATTACATATTTATTATTACATTGTTAATAAATAAACTTTTTTGCAGTTTGTTTCTTCTTCAAGTTATTTCATTTGTTTCACCCACTGTCAATATATTTATTTTTAAAAAAAGTCTGAGGGCTACCATTGGATGTTTCTCTTAGTGAGACAATGTAATGCATTATCCATTCCAGGAGATCAGGCTTTGAGCCCTACCTTAGCTACTTGCTAGCTTGGCTACTCAGCCAAGTTATTTGAATTCACTATGCCTCAGTTCCTTTGTTCCTAAAATGTTGATAATAAGAATTTATGGGCTTGATATAAGTACTAAATGGCTTAATACATAAAAAGCACTTAAGGCAGGCCCCAGCGTGTAGGGAACCTCCAATAAATGTTCACTATCATTATGGCTGTTTTCTGTATTTCTATTATTATTCTACACAATATATAAATATTTAAAGATGCCAACCAGAGTCTCTCTGCTGTATGTCCCTACCATTGAGGTTTATCCTTACTGTTTCTGTATTGGAATTATGGTCATATCAGACTAAGATCACTAGAGATCTAATACATTGGCAGAATCTACTTTGCCAGGAAGGCTGAAGACCTTTGTTCAGAAAATATATGAGTTTCTTGCTTCTCCATTTCAGATTCTTTGTGCCTTCAATTTTTCTTGCTTTCCTTAGACCTCTCTGTAAAAGGTAATCTTTCATCTTGTGTGTTTTTAATACGTATTGAATAATTATTTGGTGACTGGAACATAAATTATCTTATTTAATTCTCACAACTAGCTTATAAAGAAGGTCCTCTTTGTATGCCCATTTCCTAGGTCTAGGAAGATTGAGTTCCGTATGTGGAGCTGTGATTCTAATGTCATGCAGTCTGACTTTAGAGCAAAAATGCTTAACTCCTCCACTATGCTGCCTTCACACTCATGTTCTAGATTTCATATCATGTTAATAACTTATCTCTATTACCTCATGCCCTGCCCCTCAACCACAATCAAAGCTCTCATCTCACTCAGACTGTAGAGGAAAGTCCTTTTTCTCGGTACAACAATGGACCTTGATTAGACTTTTGATGAATCTATAGCTCAGGTAGAGGCAAGCTCAGCCAATCAGATTTTCTTTCTTGAAAGCATAAAATGAGAACTATAGAAAAAGTACGTAGTGTAAAAATAAATTAAAATGTCAGGACTATCTAAATTTATTATGTCAAGGAAAACAATTAAGCCCTAGGGACTGTCATGTAGCATATCTGCAATTCTGCCCCTTAGATGGTAGAGTGGCTCTTTTCCTGATTGTTCTTGTTCTAAAAATGACTAGCAGATACCAGATATCAGATCTTCCCCTACTTCCGATTACTTCTCTTTGTTATAGATTAACTGCCTCCTTTATTGTCTGGTACCTAACTCAGACCAGATGGCGCCCAAGACCCCATGACTATTATCTTCAGTGTGGAATGTTAAATATACCTTTCTCAAAACAAAGCACCACCTGGACCGATCAGCTAATTGTAACTATGCCATTAAGGCTTATGAAGAAAGATGCTGACATTTTGTTAAGCTTTCCTAAACTTTGCCCCTATAAGTGATCCCAAACCAATTTTTTTTTTTTTTTTTTTTTTTTTTTTTTTTTTGAGGCGGAGTCTCCCTCTATCTGGCTCTGTCCCCCAGGCTGGAGTGCGGTGGCGCGATCTCGGCTCACTGCAAGCTCCGCCTCCCCGGGTCACGCCATTCTCCTGTCTCAGCCTCCCGAGTAGTAGCTGGGACCACAGGCGCCTGCACCACATCCGGCTAATCTTTTGTATTTTTAGTAGAGACGGGGTTTCACCGTGTTAGCCAGAATGGTTTCGATCTCCTGACCTCGCGATCCGACCTCTCAAAGTGCTGGGATTACAGGCGTGAGCCACCGCGCCCGGCCGTGATCCCAAACTTCGGTACTTCTGAACTCTGACTTCCATTCTTTGGAATTTGTCCTTCCTGAACAGCTTGTCCTCAAACGTTGTGCTTGAATAAACTCTCTTTAAACTAGATTCTGACTCTTTTAGTTATTTTAGGTTAACAATGGTAAATTTCAGGCTCTTAACTAAAAAGCCGGATAGAGAAAGGGCTGATAGCCACAGTGTCTGTGAGCAAGATGGTTATGTGGTGAAAGCTGGTTGATAGGATATTGAGGACAAGAATAAAGGAAAACAGGTAACTTCTAAGAGAGAACCAGGGAAAGAATGAAAGCAAGAGGAAGAGCAAATGATGTGAGCATGATGCCTGAGCTCTACAGCGGCAGCACATGCCCAGGCCTAGCTCAAGTTTTCCAAAGTACTCAGGAACATGCATCCTTGCAATAAACCCCTTTTTGTCCTAAAGTCATTTAAAAATGTTTTTCTTAAAATGTTAAGAACCCTATCTGAAAGAGCCATCACTGAGTGGTTTTATTTTAACACCAGAGATGATCAATTTCATAGTTAAGCTGTGCTTGGCATCAATGAAAACTTCTCATCATTAAAAAAAAAAAATGTAACTTGCAAAACCTTCAGTATTCTTGTGCTAAAGAAAATGTGAGAACTCGATGTTATGATATTGTAAAATCAGCCTGATGTTGTAACTATGGACTCTGTAGACTCAGCTCCTCCCTCCCAAAGGCTTGTGCAAGTTCCTTTCTGTGCTTTTTTTTTTTTGCTAGTTTACCATTTCATTGTGTATAACTCTAAGTCTAATTTATTTGGATGAAACAGATATTCTCACCAACAATTTGTCTATCTGCCTTTGTATCTCAAACCTCTCTGTGTCTAGTAAGTATCTGGATCTTTTCATTTCTCACCATGTTTTGTTATTTTTTCTTTCCAACTCACACGTGTCAAATATTATCAGTTTTTAATATAAGGTTTAATATTTCTTGACTAAGATATAAAAATAATCGTGTTTCCTTTACTTGCCCTACCTATCAGGAGACATTTCCTAACTTTAACCTTTAAGAATGTTGGCTGTTAAAACATATTTGATGTTTCAGTAAGTTCAGGTAATTCTAACTGATCATGGTGAGAAGGTCACACATGGTTGCAGGACAGAGCACACCAACATATTAAAACTTCAGATTCAACAGAGGTTTTCATAAATATCCAAAACAAAATTAAATTTTATCACATCAAATATTCATTTCATGCTTTTTTGTCTACTTTAAAGTGGGTAAATATTAGATATTCCATTATTTCATATTTCAAACAATTACTTTTCGTACAAAATGTGACTGCAAAGATGTTTACCTGGATTGGGTGAAGGGTGAGTCCTTGAGCTTTACTTTTCATTCCAGTCTTCATCTTTATATATAGAATCTAAGCCATATACTGTTTTTAGTTCACTTTTTCTGAAAATGGATTTCTGAAAATGGATTTCTGAAAACGGATCAGCAAATGAAAACAATGGACATTTTCAGATTTCAGATGTAAAAAAGAATGGCCTCTAGGCTATATCAGATTATATTTATTAAAACTCTATGTAATAGGTAAGACACATGCAAACATGATTTTAAACATGCCTCTATATTTATTTAATTATTACTGAAATGTATTTAGCTCTGCAGTCCCTATGTTTACTGATGTGGAAAGTGCAATCTTGCTTTTTGCGGGTAATTTATTACTAGCTAAATTATCAGTTAAAATGTGGTCACTTTGGGGAAAATTTAGGCAATTCCGATGTGTCCTGCTCTCACTTCTTCCCTTCTCTGGAGAGCACCTGAGTGGGGAAGGACCCTGCCCCATTTTCTCCTCTCCGTCCTGACTGCCCTCTACTAAGAGGGCTCTTATAGCTTGGTTGTATCTATTACAGGCAAGACTTAAAATTAAAAATATGTTCTCACTTCAGATCATAGTTCTTGCAATTTAAAGCCTTGTCTTTCAAGAAAATCTTCTTTCCTGTGGGTTGAAACCTCCATTCAGCAAGTCACATGAAGTTCTTTTTGCTCTTATCTTTATCTGCAAGGGATAAAGGGTAAGGACAAAAATAAATGGAAAAATGTATCATGTGGCAAATCAAAATACAACCAACTATAGTTCAGCCACCTTATTTTTAGCTAAATTTAATATCATGTTCATTTTAACAATAGTTGAGATATCTAATATTAAGCATATCATGCATTATCTGCACGATTAATTTCTCTTTAGATAGTTTTTTCAACCATTAAGTATCTCAATTTTTCATATTTCTTAAGAACTTAAAAAAATCCATCTCACAGGGAATGAGGGACATTTAGATACACGTGAAGGAGAAGGGACATACTTAGCTTCTTTTCCTACTCCTCTATGTGGTAGATTATATTATTTGTTCAAACATACGTATTTCCTTCCCCTCCCTTTTGGTGCCTCTTTGGTAACCAGTGAAAAGAGAATATTTCTCTCCTCTCTAACGTCAGATTTTGCTGCATTACTGGCTTTGGCAAATACAATGAGCAGAAATAAATGTACACAACAGCTGGGTAGAATTTTTATGAGCTTCATGACAAGTGTATGAGTTTTATGTTCTATATTTTTTCCATTGTTTCTGCCAGATGATTGTTATGTTTGAGATAAGGGCTATTCTTTCATAATCATAATAAAGAGGAAAAGAAGCACAAACATAGATGACCCACAAAGGTGACTGAAAATGAATGCTTTGTTGGTGAAAGCTCTGTACATTTGGGAGTAGTTTGGTACCAAGCCTAAGTTAGGCAGAAATGAACAATACACTATCTCGACTGCATGCATATAATGACATTATGTAACCCTGAACCACTGGACTAAATTGGACTGCTAGACCCCACGTCTTCCGTCTCCCTGCGCCTCATCTTCTTCCTACACATTCCTTGCAGCATATGAAGTAGTTTGGGGGAGAATCCCTTCCTGAATTTACCTATGGTAAGCAGCAGCCTTCAACAATTAATTAAACAAGGATCAATTTGAAATATGTTGCAGATTAAAGTAAATTATTGTTAAGCAGCCTAGTAGTGCCAAAAGGGTTTTCAGGAATTTTCTATTCACAAGCAAGCCGAGTCCATCTGTAGGAAAATTCCATCTTCTCAACTGGTTAAATTTTC